AGAATTTTGTTTTAAAAATTCTTCCTGTTTTCTCCCTTTGGTGCTTTCTATCTTTAGCCACTGAAGCACTAGCTGGTTTATTTCTTTCCTTATTAGATTTTATGATTTCGAGGGATTAGTAATATGTCAAACATTAATGATAACTTCAAGCTAAGAATGGTATACTTGGCTTACTGATTTAGCTAAATTTAGTGGATTTTTCCTGCTTCCATTGGCCTTATGTTATAGAAGCACTGTTGTTAACTTGGGCAGCAAAATCCCCTGAGATGATGCCCACGTGGGCCCATCTTCTGATTTTATGCTTGTGCAGATGGTGTTAGGGCAAAGCTCGAATGTGGTGTTGCACCCTTCCCTGCCTTTTGAAGAAATCTTAGGGCAAATGTGTTTTTGGTCACTTGGGACCTGTACCACACAGTGAGATTTCAGCCGCATGCCTCATGCAGGCCCTGTATAGCTCCAGACCCCCTGGCTGCCTCGGGTCCCCTTCAGCTTGGCCCCTCATTACTGTGGGGATCATGCTAAGTGTGGAAATCAAGAGTCCATAACACCCTCACTGTGAGGAAGTGCCTTGTGTGTTCTTAATCACATTATTTAATGTGTTTTTTTTCTCTTTAATGTGGTTAAGATGATAGTTGATAGTAGATGTACCATTTACTGGACACTTACTGGGCTCCAGGCACTGTGTTAAGAACTTGACCTATACTCTCTCCTTTCATTTCCACATCTGAAATAGCTGGGTATTACCATCTCTGTTCTGGTGGCGAGTGATCTGGGACTCGGAGAAGTGTGTTTAAGCTTCCCAAGCAAGTAGGAGGTGAACTGGGATGCAGAAGTAAAGTCCCGCCCTAATGTCCTGGTGTTGATGATAGGTGTTTTAGCCAATAGCTTTTGGTGTTTTTTGGTCACATCTATGCTTCTTGAAATACTCCAGAAAAGGTACAATGTGGGAGCTGCCAAATGATTTATTCTTTGGTGATCTGGAGAAGGCTACTCTAATTTAAGGCAAGGTTCTTTTAAATAACAAACTCCTGGCACCTTCTATTTAATTGGAAGGGTCATGTTTAAAATAAGTGTTGTAAGTATTAACTGTTCTGCACAGGGACATATTCTGTCCCCGGGTTCCGTAGGCAGCAAACAATGGGCTGCTTCATCCCTGCTCCCACTGAGCTGGAGCTCAAGCAAGACCGTGTTTGGCTGTTGAGCACTCTTCATTGTTTTAGGTACATTATCTCCTTTTATCCTCACGCCAGCCCTTTTGCTGGGCATTCCTACAGAGGAGGAGACTGAGGTACAGAGAGGCTAATGCACCCCGAGACCAAATGATTGGTAAATGACAGAACCAGGATCAATCATTTTACTTTTAACCATTGTGTTATTGCTTCCCCTAAATGCAGTGTTTTGTCTCATAAATCCTAATACATCTCAGCCTCAAATATGGACTTGGCTGGCTCCCCATCCATCCATTGAGAAAGATCCCCTTGCACTGAGGAGGGGTCAGAACAGAGGGTTGGCCCTTGTAGCCCGGTGGGTTGTCTGAGTTATGCTCTGGAGACAGAGATACTTTAAGCCTCATGATTGCTCCTCTCTGAAATTGGTAGTGGTTCTTGTCCATTGTCCATCACCATCGAGGGAGATTTTGAGGGGCAGGGAGAGCCCCCATGAGGTGACAGGGAATTAACTAGATTTGTACTTTACATTAACACTCCTAGAGAGGGATTTGTACATCCACAAGGGATTATGGTTCTTTAACAAGGTTTGTAATTATGGTGTTATGAGGATTCATGTATGACATGGAACTTTAGAACCTATAAAAATAGGACAATGTGAAAAATATATTTGTTTGCTGGAGATAAATTGAATGTAAAGGGCCCCATTATGGGAATACATTTCTGTATTTTATAGTCCAAATAGAAATAAAAAAGCTCTTCACATATAAATATAACCCAATAAAAAGAAATCTGTGGAGTGGTTAAGAATATTATAATGGAGAATATTTTAACCATAGAAATGGTTCATCTGGACAAGTATGTCCCTTTTGTTCTTATTATTCAAATACTCTTTTCACTAATTCTCTTATTAGTCAAGAAGGAATTTGGCTGTCTCTTGAAATAGTTTTTTGCCTTTGTTATACTGGCTTTGTGCTTCTTGCTTCGATTGCTTCATCTGTAGTTGTAAACAGTACATGACATTGTAAATCTTCATTAATGTGATGATAGGATCTATTCATCTGTTTTCAAATGGGATGGAATGCTTGAGAAGGTGGAAAATAAAAAGCAGCACTGTATTACTGGTTTTCCTTTGGTCAAAAGTAACAAATTAACTTGAGCTAGCTTAAGTAAAAAGAGAATTATAATAAGGATACAAGTATGTCTTAGGAACTCAAAGGCAATGATGAAGTGGCCCTGGGGAGTGAATAGGACCCGCAGATCAGGAAGGGAACTCTGTAATCAGCGTTCTCCCCAAGCACATGTGTGACACAAACCTCACTAAAGTAAGAGAAAAGCTGACAGAGAAGGAAAGTAGAAATCTATGCAGTTTATCACTTTACATTTGAGCATGAGATTTAAAAATAGCTCAATCGTATTCTTTGGAAAAAAATTCAGGTTCATTACATGAAATTCTACAGTATAAACAAACTAAAAATTCTCTAAAATTCTGATAATCAGGGCTAATCATAACTATTTTGATAAACATTCTTCTAGACATCCAGGAAAACACACACACACACACACACACACACTCACTCTCTCATGTGCACACACACATACACCTGCACACACACACACAAACAGAATCAACTGTTTACAGTCATTTGCCTGTTTTATTCACTCAGAAGTATATCATAGATGCCTTTTCATAACAATACATATAGACCTGTGAATACATATAGACCTGCATCCATTTGCGGCTAGGGTTCAAGGTCTGGAGAAGGGGCTGCGCACAAATGGATACATCAGACAAGACATATAAATTTAGAAGGCATGGGGGAGCCAGGTGGAGACCTTACTCTCTAGCAGAGAGGCTCTCTGAATTCTCGGACCCATTAGCTTTTATTTACTAGAATACACATTTGCCCTTTACCAAAGCAAACAGGCATATCAAAGGTAAAGTTTGGTAAACAGTAAAATGATGATCAGGTTAGGGCCATGGTCGGCAAACTGCAGCTCTCGAGCCACATGTGGCTCTTTGGCCCCTTGAATGTGGCTCTTCCTAAGCCTTAGGAGTACCCTAATTAAGTTAATAACAATGTACCTACTTATATAGTTTAAGTTTTAAAAAGTTGGCTCTCAAAAGAAATTTCAATCATTGTACTGTTGATATTTGGCTCTGTTGACTAATGAGTTTGCCGACCACTGGGTTAGGGGATTGCCTTCAGCCATTCAGCCAAAAGCAGGGCATATTATGCTGATTTTCAGCCCTTGCTGAATATCAAAGTCCATGAGCCTTCCAGCAGACTTCTTGCATAATTATGCTAACTAGTTGTTGGTCTTAGCCTCTGGCAACCTTCATGATTTTCAGTGTCTATGTAGTTTATTTAACATGTCTATTTGTGGACCTTTAGGACATTTATTTACTTATTTTCTCATAATTATAAACAATTCTATGTATATTAATTTTTCTACTTTGAGTAACTTATTTAGAAATAGAATTGCTGGGTCAAAGAGTATGCTATTTTACATGCTGACATAATTGCTTAAGTGGCTACATTATGAGATATGTCTATAACATTGGCTATTGTCAATCTTTGGTAAGTGTCAGTTTGACAGGTGCTAAATAAGTCTCAATGTTCTAGAGTTGAATTATTTCATTATTAATATAGTTGAGTAAACTTTCTTATAGAAAGTTTTTTAATTTGCTTTGTCCATTTTGAGGGGAGTATTAATTTACTTACTGTTTTTTAAAACATTTTTTTGCATAAGAATAGCAACGTTTTATAAATTTCTTATATAACTATTTTACCTAGTGTGTCTTATTTTACCTTTTAACCAAAATATAAGTGTTCTCATTTTTACTTTTGATTTGTTTTTACCATTCATATATTTGAGATATTAAAAAATGTACTCAGCCAAATATCTCAATCCTTTAATAGTTTCAGATTTTAATGTCATGATGTCATGTTTAAAAAGAAAGGCCCTTTCTAGCCCTATATTATAAAACCATTCATCTGTGTATTCTTCTAGTATTCATCTAATTCTATTTTGAGCTTATTTTTATCATAAGTATGAAGAGAGATCTATATTTTTCCTTCCTCCTAAAGAGCAAACCAACACCATTTATTAACTAGTCTCACATGCCTACCTACACAGATCTGATTATATAGGGATAGTTCTATATCTGGATGTTTACTCTGTTTCATTGATTCATCTGTGCTCTCACTCAGACTGTGCTTATTAGCTGTGGCTGGCTCATTTTGTTGATTCCTACAATTGATTATGGTGATTCTCTGCTTCAAATTGGGTTTCTGTGGAATAAGGTGTTAAATAGTCAGTTTTCAGTTCCTCGGAGAACTGGGGATGAAGTGGGAACAGTTGGAGCAAGAAAGGACCCCTTCACAGACGTGTTAAAGGAACTAAGTAGGGAAAAAGTGAACAAGACCAGAAGAGCTCGTGTAGGTTAATTTGCAATGCCTGGGATTTTTGTTTTAAACCTTGGTGGGGGTAGGGAGGGCGATGTATATATCTGGTCTTTGTTTAAATTCAAAGCCATTAAGCATTTCTACTACAGGGAAGAAAATAATGTGTTTTGCCTCTTTGCCAACAGTAACATAATTTTGGTCTTCGAAATAAGTGTCTTGGGACCTTAATTCCCTGTTGGTAAAGAATATCCCCAGCCCATGTGTTGCAGCGGAAATTCATTGTTTCCTGAGTTATTTCCCTTCATGATTAGTGAGGTGGGGGGGAGGGGTGGGGGAATGACCAAATGTATAGATTGAGATTTTTTCCCCAAACACTGATGTCTGTAACATTACTTGATTCTGATGGCTTTTATTATTATTTTAGTTATTGCTGCTGAAGGCTTCTCTGATGCTTCAGGATATATTCAGGGAAATCGACTCTCCATAAACTGAGAATTCAGGTGAGTCCTTTAAAAAAGATACAGCCTTTCATTCTTAAAGTTTGATAAAGTGTTAAAATATCATCACTTATACTCTCTTGTTTGATTTTTACCAGGGTTCTGTAAGGCTGGAGTGTACTTGCCCGGTCTTATTACTTCCCTTTCAATTTAATACTCCACCTGGTAGTTGGTTGGTGGGGTAATGGTGGGTGGTGATAAGAGGGGGTGAGTAGCTGGTTTTTTACTTTATTGTATGAATTCTCATTTATTCACATATGTTTGCTTCATAAACCCCCCTTTTTAAAGTGCTGGGTAAGGAAGTAATGTAGAAACTTCCAATAGTATTTGCACTGAAACTGCATGGTAGTTCCTGGAGCTCTCCAGGGATGGCATGCGATTGCTCTAGCACAGCGGTTCTCAACCTGTGGGTCACGACCCCTTTGGGGGTCGAACGACCCTTTCACAAGGGTCGCCTAAGACCATCGGAAAACACATATATAATTACATATTGTTTTTGTGATTAATCACTATGCTTTAATTATGTTCAATTTGTAACAATGAAATTGGGGGTCACCACAACATGAGGAACTGTATTAAAGGGTCGCGACATTAGGAAGGTTGAGAACCACTGTTCTAGCATGAGGTAAAGTGAACTTTGGTTATAGAGTATTGGCTTTTCCCTCTGCTTGTCCTGGTTGTGGCTGCATGATCTCAAGCAGTGTGTGTAGGAAATAACAAGGGCAGGGAAGAAAGCCATCTCCTGTGGGTCTGGGGCAGGCCTCGACTGAAGTCCGCCAGGTGAAAAAGGATTGGCTTCTACTCTCAAAGCCTGTGTCCTGGCACATCAGATGTGCCAGTTCTGTACTTGACCAGCTGCACAGCTGAGGACAGATTACTTAATGCTGCTGGTCTCCATAAAATGTATAGGCTGGCCCAGCCTAGTTATTTCCATGCCTATAGATTTTGTAGAATAGGGAAAAAAATTCAGGACCAATGTTTACTATATTTGGGGTGGCTATTTATAAACATAGTTGATGATTATTAAAGCTGAATGAGTACACGAGGGTTTACTACATATTTGCATACTGTCCTATTTTGTGTTTAAATATTTTCATAATTAAAGGTTTATTTTAAAAAATAAGTACCATCTACTAACATCATTTCATGAGAGAAGAAATATTTTAATACTAAAAAAGTAGGCTGTCATAAATTGTCTTTAGGCTGTATGTATTTAGCATGATGAAAACGCCCTTCTCTTCCTGCTTCTTTGTCCTGTCTCTGCTGACCAGTTAGCTGTGAACTAGCCAGAACTGGCCTGAGGGCTGGCATTTGGGAAATATTGGGGTATATGACTGCTAAGGAGTCGTCTGCCTCTAAAACGGTGTCATTCTTCTGTAACTGGAAAGGGATGTACTCCAGTTATACTTATCAGCTATTTCCAGAAAATGCCGTGACAGCTAGCATGCTGGAACTAAGAGAAGTCAGAGGTCAAGCAGAAGATGAGGGATTGTTCTGTTGGGAAACCCAAACAAAAGTGGCTCATTCGTGTGAACATTAAATTTAGCTGTGAGCCACCTTGCAGTCAATGCAAAAATGAAGACTGATAGCAAAGAATAGAGAATCTTCCCTTTACACCATTGTAGGCCACCTCTGGTGAGGTGGTATTTCACATATTAGTGTCTGCCTGTGGTGTGGGGGTGTGGAGAGCTGGGGGTGAGGTGGGCTGAATGTCCATCTCTAGGGAGACCCATCCAAAACCGAGTGCCAGGAGCACAAAGCTGGGATGGAGGGGTGGAGGTCACAGGCAAGAGTTCGGAGGCATGGGGAAGGCAGAGGAAAGGAGCTGTCCTGCCTTGGGATCCTCTGTGGATGTCCTTTGAGAACCTGCAGAAGATGGTAGGTGGTCTGGTCTGGCTGAAGGGCTTGGGCACAGTGTATAGGAAACAGAAACATAAGCCTTTCCCAAGTTTTCAGGTCTGAGAGGAGCATGTCGGGTGGATTTCTATGCTGTGGGTCTGTACAGAACTGAAAACTAGCCTTCCCTTGTACTTCTCCCTGGGGATGTGTGTGAGCTGTAGGGTGGGTGGAGGACAGAGGTGATAATGGGCTAAATTATTAGGACAGTAAAATGATGTGAGGGAGGAGCAACCATACCTCCTATTCCAAAATGCCTGCCTAATCCTGGCTGCTTCTGAAAGTTCTGTGACGTTCTACCAGGGTCTACATCGATTGGAATATAGTGGTTCAGTCCTTTAGAATTCCTCCCTGAACCATTTCTGGCTTTTGTTTGTTTTACATGCCTATTTTCTGGGGAACTCACAGGAAATTTGGCAGACTTACCTGGTTGCTTTCCCTCTATCAACCAACTCTGGGTTCACTCTCTGGTTTATATGCTTCAGTTGGGTTGCTTCCCTTCCCCCCACCCCCTGGGGGGTTATTTATCTCACTACCCTTTTTTGGAAGAAATTATGTCAACAACAGAAACGTTTGTCTTAAAATTATAGGTATATGAGAGATTACCTGAAATCTTGACTTTTCTGAAAGTGTCTAAAGACATGAATAAATGCTAGCAGGAGCTTTTATTTTGACATAAACCAGAGGAAGGGAATTGCTTTAAGGGATTTGAGCCAGTCCAAGTCTGAATAAAATTTAATGAATGAACAATGTAATCAATCAATCATGTTCTGAGCCTCTCAGAAGGCCAGGCCATGCTTGGTAAGATCTTGTAGGGATGAGCAATTACGAATTTGAGACAGCCATGCTTCGGGGGAATAAACATGATGCTTTAAAGGGTTGCGTGTCGGCATATGAGAGAGTGTGTGCATGAATAAGTAGAGGGAGGTGGGGGTTTATGATAAATGACTTGTTTTGCATTTTGCTTAATGACTTGTGGCATAGTCCAGATTTGAAAATAAATGCAATATTCTGAACTTATCTCCATTTTCCTTGCAGGCTTGTAAGAAAAATATTTAAAACCCGATTTTAAATGAAAAACATTGTTTTTGGCTCTCTGGGAATTTTTAGTTCCCACTGTTGTTTAGGGAAGCTATTGACTCCATAAAAACTTAAAGCACAATCTACATAGCTGTTTGTCATTCTGTATCGGCCACTTAAAGGCAGTGACGTCAGTAAAGATAAGTTGTTCCTTGCTTACTTTTCTCCATAAAAAAATGTAATCCGCAATGCACTGGTGTCTTCCTGCCATGTTCCATTAGCTGAATTCTTTGGCTTGCTCTGCTTGTTAACTGTAAACACTGCCACTTGCTCCCCCACTGCTGGCTCTCTGAGTGGCTGGGAGTCCTAATTAGCATCGTGCTAATTAGCATCATCTCCTTGATCAGGGTTCCCAGACATGTGCCAGGCCCTCACTCTGCTGTCTGTGCTTAGTAAATGTTTCAGAACAACAACAATAACACTTTCCAGATTGTTTCTCATAATTATACTTATCCAGGGGCATAATAGAATGTGCTGCTTCCTTGAGCTTTTAGGGTATTTATGCTTATCAGTTAATCTTTTTCCAATGTTAAAAAGCCCTCCTGAAGAACTCACGAATTGAGCATTCTCTGTCTAATAATTGATTGAATTTCATAGACTCAAATGTTCTAGAATGCTCGTGCCTGCATTTAACTCTTCTACTATGGAATGTGAAACTTTTGGAACCACTTTTTTCTTCTTTTTTTTTCCTGTGAAGTCCTATATTCTGAGGACCTAGAATGATCATCAGAGCCATTTTATTCTGTTTACAACAACTCAGAATTGGACAGCTTTTCAGAATCATAAAATGGCTAGTGCACTTGTAGAGTTTAAACATGACTTGACTAAGATTAAAATAAAGTAAACACACTGGAAGTCCAGCTGCAGTGGTCTCCCCACAGCACTGTAAGGCCTGATAAAACTTGAGTAAAATCCTACTGATCTAAACAATCGTGTTATCAAGGATCTTTTATTTAAAAGAATATCAGTCAAAGTCAAGTATGCAAGTGGCTAGAAATAGAAAACATTACAGAATAGAAAAGCAACATGCCTTATTCTAACTCCTTCACTTCAACTCCCCCCTCCCCCCTCACCCCCCAGCTTATAGATCATCCTTTGCTGCTTTAGTGGGGATTCCCACATGTAGAAATGTAATGCTTAGGGCACCATTTCTCACTTTATCGGATTTAAAGGCACTTTCGTGGTATCTTGTGGATTAGCATCCCTGTCTGCCTCCCTCTCTGCACTGATTCACTGTCCGTCTTTCCTTGTGCCCTCAGATGACACATGCAGCCTCTTCTTGTTGTCTCCCAGAGACACTCCCCCCTCCCATTAATAGACAGAAAAGGCTCAAATCTTGGGCAGCTGTATGTTTGATTTTATATGTTCTTTAATCTGGTAACGTCTTCTAGGATTTACCTGTAACTTGATTCTGAATGTTAAAACCAAGAAGCAGCATGTACTCTGTTATAGGTAGGTAACTGCTGTTCCCATGGCAGCCAAATGGTGTGGTGGGATTACATTCCTTCCTCTCTGAGCCTCTTGCCCTCACACCTGGGCCCCTCTGTGGACTATGTTTGAATGGATTCTCCCTTTCACGGGTCACCAGCTGCCTTGAACGAAGCCTCAACATTTCCTAGACTCTGTCTTCCCATCTTACCTAGAACCCACTTTATTTTCCCACAGCACCTCCTCCTCTACCTTCAGCCAGAACATTTTGATTTCCATGTGCTGCCTGCCTCTAAGTAAGTGCTGTTGGCCAGGAGAAACTGTGACTACTGTTAGAAAAGCAACCTCAGGCCCTGGTGTCTCTGAAGGGGCAGCAGCCTGGTCTTTGAAATACGTCATCATTCACTGAGGCCCTGATGTGTTAGCACCTAGGTGCTGAGGCCTGGTGTCTGCTGCAGGCCTCATACCAGAATGGAACAGATGTTGTCATTCACATGCTGGACACCAAGATGTTGAGATCCGGATGAGAAGCCTCCAAGGCCTCCACTGGGAAGTGCTTCTTAGACCTTGGGGCTGCCTGCGGCGCGGTGCCAGCTGTG